GGGGGGGGGGGGGAAGACGACTGTTACAGAACAAACACGCTGTATAGAGACGCTCCTTACACGTCGTCTGGTTGAACGCGATAGAACACCCCCCAGCGTAAACGTGCAGCACCAACAAACGTCAGTGTTGCGACCATGACGGTGGAGGAGCGGAGAAAACGACGGTAGGTCCCTGCCGTCGCACAAATTCCACTGACCCCTGCTTTGCATCACCCCAGCTGCAACAGAGCTCAGGGGGTTCCTCGCTATCGTGCTTCTGATAAACCTCGGGTTGCTGTTGTTCCTTCTGTCCTATTTGCGTCTGCCCCAGGACCCGATCAGCGTTGACAGGATCGCTCGCCACCAACAGGTGGTGATTCATCTCGTATTTCCACGCATGAAGGGCAATGGCGCTGCTGTTGCGTCCCCCGAAGCATGCCACGGGTAGCCGCCCCGTACACTCCCAGCAGAGTTCATCCTGTGAGTGAAACGTCTCGCGGTACGTCTTCGGTAGCGCCTCTTCACAAAAAAACAGCGGCGCCTCATTGTCCTTTGTGCTGGAACTGTGAGGCTGTTGCGCCGAAGGGTCGACAGGCTGCCTCGGTCGCCGCTCACCCGCGTAGTAGCTCACATCCCCAATGATTGGGTGGCCCCAATCACTCAGGTGCATGCGAATCTGGTGCATGCGCCCCGAGAGAGGAACGCAGTGCACCAAACTCTCACCTTCGTCCTGCTTACTGAAGGAACTGTAGTGGTGCAAGGGTTGGCACAGCGTCGCGGCCTTCTGGAGCAGCGGCTCTCGAAGTTTTTTGGCGCTGGGGTCATGCAATGTCTCCCCACCCTCCTCCTCGGTGTTGTCCTCGCGGAATACGTACTGCATCAGCGGCGAGGCGAGTAGCACCATCGGGCCTACGCCAGTTGCCGACGCTTTACCACCATTCTCATCTGCACTGCTATTATCACGGGAAGTGGCAGTGGCAGAAGCAACAAAGAGATCGTCCCCTGTCACTCGCATGTCATCCCTGGCTGCAGCGCCTTCTTTCGTCGGCCCCTTTAAGCGCAGCAACTGCAACGCGCGCTGCGGGAAGCAGCCGTGAACACGCGCCAAGTACCGCTTCCTCACACCCACATTAAGCTCCTCCAAAGCACCCACTTCAAACGTCTGCACTGTTCCATCCTCCATCTTCCCAGTGTCCTTTTGGCACAACAACGGCAGCTGCTCCAAAAACACCTCCTCCATCTGCTTCGTTTTCATTGTCAAGGCCTCCCCAACACGCCGCGCAGCCGCCTGCGTGACGCCAAGGAGCAGCACGCCAGAAGTCACTTTGTCCAAGCGATGGCACGGCCGCGGCAGGCGCTCGATTGGGGCCGACTCACCCGCTGCACCAGCAGCTGCTGTCGCGCCTTCGTCTCCGCCTACGCTGTAGTACGCAAGGAGTTCTGTGCACTCTTCTGCGCTCAGGTGGCACGTCGACACGAGGGACTGGAGCAGGGGATCACGCTGCAGGAGCCACGCACGGAGTCGCTTTGGCGCCAGCACGTATTCCAGCATAGCAGTGCAAGAGTTCATGAAGTACCGCCCCCCCGCGTGCGTCGGAATTCCTGCGGGTTTGTGCACGACGAGGAGCCCGTACTCCACAATGCGTACCGCTGCGATGACGATCGGGTCAACCCCGGTTGCGCCCATGCTCACCGGTATCTCGTGCCGGTGAACGGTGTGCAGCACGACATCGCCGTTCTCGAGCGCCGCCGGTGGCGCGGCGTCCTCCACGTGTTCGACAGCGCCACGCACGTCGTCGACGCCGTGAGACCGCTTCATGCAGCCACGCCGCATGTTACGCTGCGCCCGCGGTTGCCGTCGCAGGCGCCCCCGCTGCATACATACCTCGTAGTAGTCCCGGGTGTGGTGCGCGTGCTCCTCGCTGTAGACGTCAAGCAGCGCGCGCCCGATCCAGCGCCCCTTCACGAACACGCGGAATGTGTAGTGGTAGGGCACCACGTGGCGGCGCGGCAGCAGCAGTGGAGGCGACCCAGGCACCGTGTGCCACGGGAATCCAGGGATGAGCGGGGTGCAGTAGAGCGCGCGCGCCGCCTCGGAGGCCCACGCCTCTTCTTCAAGCCGCAGGAGCTGCGCAACGTCCATGCCCTTTTGTGTGCGATGGAGAGAGAATATAAGAAGAACGAGGGAAGTAGTGGAATATATATATATATATATATGGTGGCGACGCATACAAATACTTCATCTCGATACACACAGAAACACACAACGAAAGAAACAAAGAAACGGTAGTTGCTGTGGTCACCTGACATGACCGCATGTGAACGACGAAACTCAATCGAAAGAAGCTGCAGTTCGGCCCTTTACTGCCTTCATTGCCTTCTGTGTCGATGATGGCGGGGCAATCGGCCCCTGCAGGAGCTGAAACTCCACCAAGAGGGACATGAGACGCTCAAAGTGTACCGGTTGGCGAACATAGTCCAGCGCGAAGAGTATATCGCGCACATCTTGGAGAGAATTGGGGGCTTCTACTCCCGCCGTGGATACAACTGCAGCAGTGTATTCCGTCACAGTCGCCCAAAATCTGCCATCAGCGTAATGCCGTGCAGCGAGAGCGCTGCACACCACCACCACATCCTCCAGCAGGATCCTCTTGGTAGCATCCTCACCTCCCGCTGCCTCGCGCTCCTGACGCTCCAACGCCTTGCGCTCCTTCAGTGAGAGAAGCCGCAACTTCGCCTCTTGAGTTGAGGCGCGGCGGTGCAACTTCACCTCCGCGCTTTCAATCACTACACGCATCCGCACTTCAAGCGTGCGAGCAACGGCGTGCAGGTGCGACAGCACCGTATAGGACGTCATGGCCGGCCGCAGCACCTCACCAGTGCCGTCTGTGTCAACACCAGCGGAAGGAGAAGCAGTAACAGCAGAAATACCTGTCGCGGTCGGATCACCCCTATTTGGGTCGTCAAAGTCGGCGCTGCGCGCGAGTGCGGTGGCGAGTGCGCCAAGACGGCAGCTGTCGAGCTGCTCACAGGCCCCCAGCGCGGGCAGAAGCAGGCGGTAGAGGGCTGGCAACAGTATCACCGGCGGGCGCAGCGCCAAGAGCGCGGTGCCCGTGTCGGCGAGCACGATAGCCTGCTGAAGTTCTTCCGGTGAGAGTCGCACGCCCAGGTGACGCACCTGCTCGCCAGCGCGTGAGGGGAGCGGCGCGTTGTCTGGCACTATGGCACTCTTGTAGGCCTCGCTGTGTGCGTCCCCCCCCACCTCCACGCGGTGGTGCGTCGCGTGAAGGGTATGCGTGAGCCGCTCCTGCGCCAAGAACAGCGCCACCACGCGGAGTTCGGCAATGACCGATGCGAACAGCAGCCTCTCGTCGTCGTCACCACCGTCATCTCTGCATGCGGCAGGAGCAGCAGCAGCAGCAGCAGGGAGAAACCGCAACTGCGCCTCACCCAACTGCACCGCTGCGCACAAGGCCTGCACAAAGACAGGAAGGGAATGAAGGTCGCGTGGAACTCGCTCCTCGGCAACAGTGTCATCAGTACATTCATCACGCTCGCTGTGGTTAGAGAGGAGCTCCTCCTCCAGCGCCGCCGAAAGGGAATCGGCCTTCTCCTGTGGGAAGTGGNCGCTCGCTGTGGTTAGAGAGGAGCTCCTCCTCCAGCGCCGCCGAAAGGGAATCGGCCTTCTCCTGTGGGAAGTGGAGTCGCCAGAGCCGGCAAAGGCACCGCCAATGCTCCACATCGGTGGGTTCCTCCAGAGCCACCTGGATGCATTCCACAATACGCTGCCACGCCGGCGCCGACGTCGAGGATGCGGTGAGCCCCGACGAGGCTGACTCGTTCAGCGTGCTGCCACCACACCACCGGCGTTGCCACAGAAGGCCGCACACAGACGGCTGTTGATGCTGCTGCTGCTGGAGCGGCGGCGGTGGCACGGCGAGGTGCGAGCGTGTCAGGCAGGCCGCCAGCGCACGGCGGAGGCATGCGCACCTCCACATCGCTACAAGACGAAGGGAGTGGCCTTAAGTGTATGTGTGTGTGTGTGTGTGTGTGTGTGTGTG